AGTCTATTATTGTCATTGATACAGATCTGAGGAGGTTAAAGTCAGAGACTCAGATCCTACCTTATGAAACTGAAGAGGACCTTTTCCTAGTGACTACTGTAGACCATAGATATCAATCCAACTTTCAAAAAAATGGAAGAGTGGTAAGGTGCATTGAAGAGTTATGACAGATTCAATTTTCATATTTCTTACTTTCCAGTGACAGACTAAGCAGTGGATTTTGAATATGGCAAATAATGAAAGACATGAACTAGGAGCAACAAATTTGCATAGAGTAGCTAAACAATCATGCATTAGTTGAGTCATCTAATATAGAAAATTAAAGAATAATTAGACCTGATATAGTAGAAAAGGGAAGTCTCATGAAATAATGATGTAGAAGATAGTGAGATTTTGTTTGTCTAATGCTAGGTGCACCAAGATTCAAAAACTATTCCCACATGTTATTGTTGTCTGGAGGCCATGGTAAGTTTGAAGAGAAAAAAATCAATAGAATTCCATTAAATTCCAAAAAGATATCTGGTATGTTTTTATATGTGTTCTTTGAGGATTTTCTTATTTTAACTATGTGGTGTAGTATAGACATAATTATTGACCTGTAGTCAATTATCTGTTGGAAGTTTTCAGACAAACTTGTGGAGGATATTAAACACCTCAGCGTTCCTCAAATTCTGGTGTTACCATAGATTGGATTAGAAAAAGTAGCCAGATCTTCTAGTGGGACAGGAAGAGTCAATGGCTTATACATTACTCAGGAAGTTTGTCTTTTTTTAGGTATTAGAGACTCAATTTGCTTCTATTGGCTATAGGCATTAAGGAAGGGCAGAACTGTAAATCATGAAGCTGTAAAAGGCATGATACTTAAAAGTCATAGAATGATTTAGATTGTAAAGGATTTTTCAACTTCATCTAGTCCAACCACCTACCATGGGCAGAGACACCTCAGATTGCTCAAAGGCCTTGAATATTTCCAGAGATGGAACATCTACAACTTGTCTGGGCAACATGTTGCAGTGCCTTGACAACTTTTTAGGAGATACTTGCTTCCTTATATCTAATAAAAATCTACCCTCTTTCAGTTTAAAATTGTTTTCTGTTTTCTTCTTAATATTCTTCTAATTAAGGGTGAGTGGCTCAGATAAAGTAGGTATTCCTGACATTTTGTTTGTTTTCACTTAATTTTCTTAATTTACTTGAGAAAAAGCAATACCTTTAGAAAGAGCAGTAGTATTTCTTAATTACAAATTAAAAACAAAACAATACAAAACAAAAAATGATCAAATAAATTTCAATTTCAATTTTTTAAAAAAAAACACATTTCCACTTGTAAACTGATCAGAGCAAAATGCAACTAGAACTTCTTGAAATTTTGTCTGTTAAAACAAGGTAAACAAAATCAATATAAAGTAAACGTATTAGAAGGTTGTTGTTTTGAATTTTAGTTAGGAAAAAAAGGTATCTCCCTCTTAAAATTCTTGTTTCTCTTGAGCAAATATATAGTTGTTTTAAAAACTACATTTCAAGTTATAAATTTGCAGCCAAAGTTTCATTCAGCTGTGTAACTTTATGAAGATTTTTAGACTGCTCATTCTATCCCTCAGTAGAGAAATTGGGATAGGCTCATTAAGTATTAAAAGAACAAAAGTGTCTTTTTTTTTTTTGGTCATAATAACAGAACATAATAACAATAATAACATTATAACATTTTGCTGGTCATGATAACAGAAGCAGTAGACTAGATCTTTAATAAGGAAAAAAGTTCTAAAAACTGTGTGCCTAGAGATAGGATTTATTAAAGTCCAATCGACATTTACCTGTACGTTAATTTTGTTGATTTCAAAAAACTTATTCCAGCAACTTAAAATCCTCCTCTTCCTACAATATAATCTTCCTCACTAGGTTTCCCTCCTTCCCTCTCCTCTGTGGACCAAGCAATTTATTTCCTGCTCTCCCAGCTCTTCATCAGTCCCTCTCTTCGTCAGTCTGCAATCATTCTGCGAACTCTGTTCTCTTTCTGTCTAGCTCACTCTGTGTGTTCAGGGCACACTTGTCCAATCTATTCATTCTGAGGCATGTCCACAGAAGGAGTCATCCTCCTTTATTCTGTCCAAAATGGGAGCTTAACAGCCAGGATAAGCTGGGTACCTTCTCACACACATATCTTTCCTGACGCAACTTCACTCCTTCTCTCCCAACTTATCTACTTCCTCCTGCCCCAAGCAGTGCAGAAGGATGGGGAGCAGGTGGCTGCAATCTGTCCTTCCCTCTGTGCCACTCTCCTCACACAGAGCAGCCTCTGATCACCAAGGACCATTTTCCACTGCTAGAACCTATCCAATGACAAGTATATACCTCCACAAAGTACTACCCACAAATCTATCAGAGAGTATCTAAAATCAGACTCCAAAAATCATAGCTACTGTGTAGGTGAAAAATATCTCTGCCTGGGCTCCAAGCCAGCAGGAATGCAGAAATTTCTTGTCCATACTAACACAATGCAAAATCCGAGTTTCTCTGCTGAGAAACTGATTCAATTGCATGACTTTGTTCAGCTTTGCATCTCAGGCACAGTGAGCATTTATCTGACTAGAATGCAAATGTAATGCAGAATGCGGGAGTATCCTTAGGTTCTACAAACTACATAGCATGGCTGATGTTTTTTTGTGAGTGATACAAGCAGATTTAGTCTCTTTGGTCAGTGCTTTGTCAAAAACAAAAAATCTTTAGATTGTCTTCTCATGTTTATCCTCTACTGGTCTGAATTCAAATTTATAACTGCACACTCAGAGCTGGTCTTTGTTAAGTATTTTTAAAATATATTTCTGGAAATGTACTACTGATATATAACATAACTTTTCAAAGACATAGCACTTTTGCTTTCAAGAGAAGTGGGAGAGGATGCTCAAATTCACTCTTATAATCTGAGCAACATGAGCTGTTGGACGTATGAGCACACTGCCTTGATACAGTAGTCATGTGGTATGAACTAGTCTTAAACCATGAACAATGTTAACATCCAGTTAGCAAGCTGAAAACCTGGAGATGAAAGAGACACATCCTTGAAATCCGTCCAGTTATCTGTCCAAGATAACAAATAAAAATACGGTAAGATCTTAAAGAAGTGTACTCTGAAGTAAATGGCATAACACAAAGATCTAAAGGAAAGGTTTTATTTTTTTGGCTTTTTGTTTTCTTCAAAAAAGCATTTTTCTATATTCATCTAACGTCTTTTGGAATCTGAGTAAGTATCAGTTATTACATAGGTACTTGAACCTATGAGGTGTTGAGTGTCCATATTTGAGCAGGAGTGTTTGATCAGATGTCCTCCAGAGTTCCCTTCTAACCTTTGCCATTCTGTGATTCTGAGTTAGGATAAAGCTACAACAGGAAACCTTTGGAAGGCTATTTTCACTTTTTCACACAGTAGTCTTCTCTGTTTTGACTGCTGTCGTGCACTATAGGCCTAACAATAATATGACAGACATAGGCTGGCTGCCATGTTCAACACATAAGAGGAATTGAGGTAATAACATACCCAAAATGCACTTTGAGCTGCCAGAGCAAACTCTGTCAAAATGAGCCAGACACAGTACCTGGGAACTTTGATTCTACCTTGGAAATCTATTCATTTTAAATTCTACTTAGTTTTGGAGTAACATTTATGTTGTGACATTGCATTTCTTTGTAGAATGGATGCACTGTTTTTATTCAGGAAAGTAGTAAACTTTCCAAGCATTTTTTCTTCATTTTAACTTTCAACTAAGCACAGAGACTCAAATTATTTAGGCATTTAAGTCATGTATTATTGTATATATATGTCTTATTGTATATACTTCCATAAAAGTACGAATAGACAAAATGTACAAAAGAAAAATGAAAGGGGCTGGGAATAGCATAGAACCAACCAAAAAGAAGAACCCCCAAAGCCCAAAACCAGAAAATAGAGTTCACCAGAGTCTAAAATGATTGCACAGGTTTTTATTTTCATGTTGTTTTTTTTTTTTTCACATGGCAACGATAGAACAGACTGCAGCAGCAAAAACAAGTTCTTTAAGCTCTGCACTGTGAGAATTACTAAAAAGGAATGAAAAGTACAGACAAGAAAGGAGATAATACTTGTCTAAGTCCATGTAACTGTGTTTCTTACAATGCCTTCCTGCTAGCAATTGTACCTCATCAGACTAAATTACTGGTTTCAGTGTGTTCTCACAGTGTCTGTTGTTTTTTGTGAAACTAAAATAAGTCGACAAGAAAAACATTAAAACAATCATTTAATTTCATCTCAGAAGATGAAAAGTAAACACAGCATGGTCACCACCAGCTTCCCATAGGGATATGGGAACCATGCCCATGGCAGTGGTAGGAACTACGTGATCTTCAAGGTTCCTTCTAACCCAAGCCTTTATGTGATTCTATGATTATGTTATTGTATTGGAACTAATTTGAAGAATTAAGACTGAATCTGTTTTAGTGAGGCCCTACTTGCCCTTACAGGTAAGTATTTTGGTCACTCCATTCCTCACTAGCTGTAAATCAAAGCAGTTACAACTAGAAACAAGAAGGCTTTCAGGCTTACAAAAATCTTCATAACAAAACAGCTTAATGGTACAAAGTCATGCACCTCCCTGTGCAAATAGTAAGAGGAAAAGAAATTTCAACTATATAGCATTTCAAGATGTTAATCTGAAGACAGGTACAGAAAAAATGGCTCTGACAGGCTTTCTTGACAGAGATGCAGAGAAAATACATGATCCAAATGTTCCTATTGTGCAAGTTTATAAGGAAAGTTCTTTTCTGTGGTTTTGCATTGCTAAAAGGCAATTTATATGTGTATTTACTTGACAGCAGATGCTGTCATTTGACTTCAGTTATGTTCGTAGTGCCTTAATCTGTTACTAAAAACACTTTCATCTTTCTCTTTCTGGTAAAAACATTGCAAGGTAGTATTTATTGTTTTCAGGTCTCTCTTTGTGCTAAAATACATTATTTTAAAATTGCAGATCCTCCAACTATTGGCTCAACCGCATCCAATCCTTTCTCTACTGCAATGAAAATGGCCTTCTGGGAAGCTTTTCTGAAGAGACCCACACATGCACCTGCCCTAATGACCAGGTTGCCTGCCATGGGTTCCTTCCCTGCACAGTTGGAGATGGCTCTGCTTGTCTGAGCTGCGCTCCTGACAATCGTACCCGCTGTGGAAGCTGTAATGCTGGATACATGCTAAGCCAGGGGATTTGCAAGCCTGAAGTGGCAGAATCAACAGAGCACTACATTGGGTTTGAGACTGACCTTCAGGACCTGGAAATGAAGTATTTACTGCAGAAGACAGATCGGAGAATTGAGGTGCATGCAATTTTCATCAGCAATGACATGCGCCTCAACAACTGGTTTGATCCTTCTTGGCGCAAGCGAATGCTCCTTACTCTTAAGAGTAACAAGTACAAGTCTAGCTTGGTCCATATGATACTAGGCCTCTCTCTTCAAATCTGCCTAACTAAAAACAGCACCTTAGAGCCTGTGCTTGCTGTTTATGTCAACCCTTTTGGGGGCAGCCACTCTGAGAGCTGGTTTATGCCTGTGAATGAAAATAATTTCCCAGACTGGGAGCGGACTAAGTTGGACTTACCCCTTCAGTGTTATAATTGGACACTGACTCTGGGCAACAAGTGGAAGACATTTTTTGAAACAGTACACATCTATTTGAGGAGTCGAATAAAGTCAAATGGTCCAAATGGCAACGAAAGCATCTACTATGAACCCCTGGAATTTATTGATCCCTCAAGAAATCTGGGCTACATGAAAATCAATAACATCCAAGTGTTTGGCTACAGCATGCACTTTGACCCAGAAGCAATTAGAGACTTGATTTTGCAGCTGGACTACCCCTATACTCAGGGATCACAGGACTCTGCACTTTTGCAGCTGTTAGAGATACGTGATCGTGTAAATAAACTCTCTCCACCTGGTCAACGTCGTCTAGACCTCTTCTCTTGCTTGCTCCGTCATAGACTCAAACTGTCTACCAGTGAAGTGGTGAGAATTCAATCTGCTTTGCAGGCATTTAATGCCAAATTGCCAAACACAGTGGATTATGACACAACCAAATTATGTAGTTAACCATAAATGTGAAGCACAACACAAAACCTTGAAGGAGTTTTTACAGTGCTTTTGTGGAACAGTTTATGTTTGGAAGAGTAAATTTAAATTGTCTTTTCAATATCTGTCTTATATCAGTCAATACTGTTGGATGGCAATTTACACACATGAACTTGCTGACAATGAATATATTATACCTGCAGTTTTGGTTTATGAATGAAATAAATACTGACACCAGTCTAGAAGACATTCTACTTTTTACAATAAATTTCATTTGTAATTTTATATGTTCCGTGGCAATGCTTTTGTGCATTACATCCTCTAGAGGGAACATAGAAGAATACCAATAAAATTTTGTAGCTGAACAGTTATTAAAAAGAAATGCTGTGGGATTCTTTCTTCTTACACAAAAGCAGTAATCTTGATATACTTTTGTGTGTGTTGAACACACGTTGCAGGTAAATAAAATACAGTGACTCATGGTTTCAACAGAAAACACAGAAAAGTCTAAACTGTGGAATATTTTCTTCTTAGGAATTATGTCTAAATGTTTATTCTGAGCAGAAGTGACAACAGTAGCAATGCTTCACTTGCTAAACCTCTGAGACTTGAAAAGGCATGCCCTTTTCAAGCTGCTTAACATGTCATACTGACTCCTAGAGTTGCAATATTGAGTGTTTTAGGATGGACAGTGTGAGGTGCACAGTAATGAAAGGTTGCATTCTCTCAACAGCAGACAGGTGAAAAGCTATCTATGCAACTGATCTTATTCACCCTACAAAAGAGAAAACCATCTTCACAAAAGTTTTCAGAAATTTCCATAATCCTTTACTGTGCCTGAATATTTTGTGTATTTATAGAAAGAATAAATATTAAAGCACATGCATACTATTGTCCAAGGACACACTCTGAAATGTTCACCTTGAAATACCTGTTTTCAACTACTTCCCTAAGCATCATTCATGCTGTCAAGATTCAAATTCAATATAAAACATTCACCAAAAATAAAACAGTTTAATCTACTAATCTATTAATGAGATGAAATAAATGTGCCTACCTGTTGATCAGAATTAGGTTCTTTGATAGTTTATACGTTCTGGCATGAAACTTATATCTGGGATGGCAGAACGTGGCACTTCCAAGAAAGTTCTGCTACATAATGCCAGAGGAGAATAATGCAAATGTCTTTGCTGTCTGTAGTCTGTTAGTAAGTAGAGAATAAAGTGAGGGAAATTTATACAAATTCTTTTGGTGGCACCATGTTAGTGAAATCTGAATTTGTGCCCATGATGTAAAGGTCAATCTGTTTGTTTGTTTTTGTTTTGATTTTGTTTTCAATGGGAAAGAATTTGCATATAAAACTAGTACGTTATGTGCAAGCACAGAAAGATTAAAAAAAAAAAAATCACTCAGAACTGAAGTTTTAGAATTTAATTTTAGAATTAAACTTCATTTAATTTCAATTAAAAGAAATTTGGTAAACATTGAATTAGTTCCTTCACAATTTAATTCTGAGTCACAGCCCAATCTGAAATTAGGCTTTGTTTCTATGTAGCCCACAGTAGCGCAAGAAATGCTAAGTTTCATAATTATTAGTGAGCAAAATGAAACAGAAGCTCAGAAACACTTAGAAAATTCTATAGCCAAGAAGGATCTTCTTTTCTTTAGTGATTCCTCTCCTGCCTGATTTCACCATATATTTGTAAGGATTACTCTTTCACCAATACACATTCAGATAATTTCTCTTACTGTGCTAGGAAGCTCAGTGGGACTAAAGTTAGCATATTTTTCCATAAATCAGATTCTAGATGAATTCCTGTTTGGTTTCCAATCACAACTTTGTTTTACTGATAAATAATGTATCTCAGACTAGTTGTCGGTGTCAAAATTCTGGCTTGCTATTGCATGGATATGATGAACTAGGCCAAAAAGTGACATATGACCTTCTTGGTTATGATTTACTTCTGTTCTTATCATCAGGTCTCTCCTTTGGTATATAATGAAACATAGAAATAGACAATTGGTTTTACTAATCGTTACATCTTGCAGTCTTTATAAATGATAGAAAGATCATGGTGTAACAAGTTGAATAAAAAGCAAGGAGTCCTATTATGCTCATAGAAAGTAAAAGTTAGAATATAAATATGAGGTAGTGGTAAATAAAGCACTCAGACATATTATTCCTTCACTAAGAAAAAATATTGCTATGATGTATCAAATCACCTGAAATATTTTGCCCCTCTTACTAATTTCTTTCTAAAATACTTAATCAATGACTATTTACTCTTTCTGTTTTTAAATATCTTTCTTGAGATGGAAAGTTCTTCTTGAGACCTAAATATGTGTACAGAAAGAAGAATAAGCCAAAGCAGTCTCCAGACAGGCATCATTTAATTATTGTACAATACATCTGGATTATATATATATATATGTATAATAATCATTTATTACACTAAAATATTATAAAAAAATAAAATAAGTAATAATCCAGAGGGCATTTACCTGGAGGGAAAAAAAAAAAAAAAGTACTTATTGTATTTTTTTTTGCCAAATTAAAAGTATGAAACAAATTTTTAGCCTACTAGTGATCAACTAGTTGGAACCAGGGGAGTTGGGGAATAATGAAGGCATTCAGTTTACCAAAACTAACCTCCATAAACATTGAAACAAAAACAAAAACAAAACAAAAAACCAAAGCAAAACAAAACAAAGAAAAAAAAAAAAAAGAAAACTGTAAGTGAATAGTGAAAAGAAATGCAGGATTTATCAGATTTTCAAGCTACAAGCGGGTGCCAACAGTATTTCCATTTTCATACTTTTCCAATTGAAGTATTTCTGTGTTTCTGAAAATAATTTATTTGTGTGTAAAAAAGAACAAAAAATTCTGGGCGAAACAGTAAAGAACTTAATCAACAAGAACAATCTTATACTAAGGTATGAAAATATTTGTGGAAAAGGAACACATACATACAGTCATTTCCATCCAGACACTGTGTATGATTATTCCCTGCTTACTATATTCTACAGTTCAGATCCTCACTCTGCTTCTTTGCACTCTGTTTCCCTTTGCATTCACCACGGCTGTTATTATCTACTGTTATAAACTGAAATAAAGACAGACAAATGATCGAATATATGCAATGACATAATGGCAGCTTGTAAAAGTACTCAGAAATATCTTCAGTGGCTATAGGTATAATAACCAGATACATATTGATAGAGATTATTAGCTTATATAAAATAAAAATATTAAAATATATGTTTTATTAGATTATATACAATACTAATTCTTAGCTTGCTGAGTTTATTATTATTTAAACTAGATTTGATAGGAGAAGGGGATGTACTGCTGAATTATTTCCTTTGCCACAAGACAATTCTATCGTTACAAATATTTGGAGAAAGAGTCTTTATTTCTTAAAGTATTCATTAAATGACTGCATTTATTGTGAAATTGCTTACTCAGCAGATGCTTCATCTGACAAGAGGCAAAAGCTGCGTTTTTCCCAAGCTGAGTAGGCAGCTTGTGCAGGAGAGAGTACATAGGTATGAAGAAGGGTACTCTGAGCATCAAAAGGTTATTTCCTTGAAAACTCAGTGCATAGTTTAAGTACAAATCAAAAAAACAATAGAATACAAAGTAAGAAAAGTGATAAATACCTATCTCATTATACTACAGAGTTACATCTAAACTTTGAGTCCTGCATCACCATAGAGATACGATAGAAGCAATTAATGTGATATAATAATGGATCCATGTTTTACAATCAACTAGCTATTGTTTCTTTGAAAGATAAATGTCGGAATCTGAAGAACCGTTTGTTTTGGCACAATCACCTCTATGAATGGGAGATGCTCTAGATGGTGCATCACAGTTATTTTTTTATATTTGAACCTGTAAAGCTAAGAAGTGGATCAAGCTGCTAAGTGCTTTAAAATGCTGAGTTGCCAGCACAAAACAAGAAATGGATATTCTTAGTTAAATGTTTAACAGGACCAGAGATTAGAGACCTCAAAACTCTAGCCAGTCAGACTGTGCTCAACTCAATCAGGCTTTAGTTAAAAACTCAAGAAATTATGAAGCGTTTATTTTCATGTTTAATTTTTCAGCTTTTACAGTTTAAGAAGTCAAAATAAACAAAAACTATTAAAGTAGACTGAAAGCACCACTGCTATTTTGAATAAATCCCTGTGTAAATGGAATCTATCAATCAAAGATGTTTTTCCTTCATCAGAAAAAGGTAACAGAAATGAAATGTCAAATTCTCTGATTAGCTTGAACTAGAGTGATTCTATCACTTCAGTTTCATCCCATATTTATCTTAAAATTATTATGTGATTACTTACTAAAATAGCTGGATTTTATACAATGTACACATGAGCACACATATCCATTGAACTTGCCTAGTTACTTTTTTCTTCAAGAGGCAATCTGTAATCTCTTGGACAAAATTAGTAAAAGCTATTACATGAAGAGCTGAGATACACTATTTGGTAAGCTCTCTATGAGCAAAGGCATTTGACATTGAACTGAGAGCAATTCATGAGAGGTAGAAGTGACTTTGTAAGCAAGCTTTTTGTCATACTGATACAAGATAGCACGTTTCAGATCTCTGAAATCACCCATACATAAATAGAGGCATTAATCTGGTCAAACTTTAAGCACATATGTATTTAATTTTTTTTTTAATAGAAGTATAGGCTTCTTCTATTTACAATATAGTTCTGAAGAGAACTTCAGGCATCTCAACAGCTTATACCTACCTATATTTTACTCAGAGATCCTATGCTTCTAGCTTCAATTACACATACTATTCCAGTCATGCATGAAAATGAGAGGAAGTTCTAAGGCTGTTATTCATGTTGTTGTGCCATAGGAAAAAGAGCAGTATAAATAAGGAACTAAGGAAACTGTTAAAAACAAACAAACATATAACTAAAAAAAAACAACCAACAACCTAGCTCAACATTATGAGACAATGCCCGTGTAAGAAATCATTAAGGGCTACATTTAGCCACTGTATAATCATGCAGAAGCTTCCCCAGTCACTGCATTAGACCAGCAAAGAGTAAAGCAGCTGAATTTGAAAACTACTGTAGAATCAGGCCTTAAGGAAACATTTTTAAAACTTTAGGAGAAAATTAAATATGATGTTTTGATTTATAATTGATTTTTGCCTGGTAAGTTCAAATTAAACTCAAGGAGCCCAGCCCACATCATAAATCCTGTATTGGAACAAGGCATGCTTCAGATGCTGCATATCGTAGTCACAAAACATAAGGGTGAATCTGGTGACATGAAATGAGCCTGGTACACCAGGATAAAACTGTAAATATGAAAACTTTATACCTTTGCTAGATGACAGCAAATGAGGCCCATTTCTGTAAAATATAGGATCAAGTGTCTGCATGTGCAAACTGTATTGCCACATCCCACATGATCTTATTCAAAGCTAATTATGTATTAACAATAGTGGAAACTTTTCTGCCGAAGAAAATTTTCAGGCTCATCTAAAATTTGAATCTGAAAATGCCCCCTGACACTGCCTTTGACACTGTCTCCCACAGCATTCTCCTGGAAAAGCTGGCAGCCCATGGCTTGGACAGGTGCTGGGTAAAGAACTGGCTGGAGGGCCAGGTGAATGGACTGAAATCCAACTGGCAACTAGTCACAGGTGGTGTTCCCCAGGGGCTGGTACTGGGGACTGTTCTGTTCAATATCTTTATTGATGATTTGGATGAGTGCACTGAGTGCACCCTCAGTAAACTTGCAGATGACACCAAGCTGATAGGAAGTATTGATCCATCTAGAGGTAGAAAGGCCCTACAGAGGGATATGGACAGTCTGGGTTGCTGGGCTGAGACCAATGGGATGAGGTTCAACAAGACCAAGTGTGGAGTCCTGCATTTTGTCCACAAAAAAAAACTAGCAACACTACAGACTTGGGGAAGAGTGGCTGGAAGACTATGTGGAAGAAAAAGACCTGGGGCCTGGAGGCATTGGTCTACACTCAGCTGAACATAAGCCAGCAGTGTGCCAGGTGGCCAAGAAGGACAATGGGATACTGGCTTGTATCAGAAGCAGTGTTGGCAGCTGAAGCAGGGAGGGGATTGTCCCTCTGTATTCATCACCTGGTGAGGCTCCACCCTGCATACTGCATTCAGTTTTGGGCCCCTCCCTAGAGGAAAGAAACTGAGGCCCTGGGGCGCGTCCAGAGAAGGGCAAAGAAGCTGTGAGGGGTCTGGAACACAAGTCTTATGAGGAATGGTTGAGGGAAGAGGGATTGTTCAGTCTGGAGATAAGGAGCTCAGGGGAGACCTTACTGGTCTCTATAACTACCAGAAAAGAAGTCGTAGTGAGCTGGGAGTCGTCCTCTTCTCCCATGTAACGAGCGATAGAATGAGAAGCAACAGAAAGGACCTACAAGATCTCGTCCAACTGTCTTCCTATAACCTTTACTACATGCTAAGCCACTAAATGATGTCTTGTAGCATCTCATACAGATGCCTCTTGAAAACCACCAGGGACGGTGACTCCAACACCTCCTGACCTCCTGCCTGACACTCTCAGAGAGAAAAAGTTTTTCCTTATGTCTAATCTAAACCTGAAGAACTTGTGGCCATTTCCTCAGGTCCTGTTTGTTGTCTGGGAGAAGAGGCCAAGCCCCTCCTCATCACAACCTCCCTATTGCAACTGTTGAGTGCAATGAGGTCTCCCCTGAGCCGCCTCTTCTACAGACTGAACAATCCCAGCTCCCTCAGCTGCTCCTCATAAGACTTGTGCTCCAGACCCCTCACCAGTTTTGTTGCCCTTCTCTGGACACGTTCCAGGGCCTCAATGTCTTTCTTATAGTGAGGGGCCCAAAACTGAAACAACACTTGAGGTGCGGCCTCACCACTGCTGAGTAGAGGGGGATGATCACCTCCCTGCTCCTGCTGGCCACACTATTTCTAATGCAGGCCAGGATGCCGTTGGCCCTCTTGGCCACCTGGGCACACTGTCGGCTCATGTTCAGCCAAGCATCAACCAATACCCCAGATCCCTTTCCTCTTCACACTCATCCAGGCACTCGTCCCAAGGCTATAACGCTGCATGGGGTTGTTGTACCCAAAGTGCAGGACCCGGCACTTGGCCTTGTTGAACATCATCCCATTCACCTCAGCCCAGTGATCCAGTTTTTCCAGATCCCTCTGAAGGGCATCCCTACACTCAGGCAGATCCCAACTTGGTGTCATCTGCAAACTTACTGAGGGTGCACTCAATCCCCTCATCTAGGTCATCAGTAAAGATATTAAACAAGATGGGCCCCAGTACCGACTCCTGGGGGACACCACTTGAAACGGGTCACCAGCTGGACTTCACTCCATTCACCACTACCCTTAGAGCACAGCCCTCCAGCCAGTTCCTTACCAAAGAAGGGTATACCTATTCAGGAGGTATACCTATTCTCCAAGAGAATACTGTGGGAGACCATGTCAAAGGTTTTATTGAAGTCTAGGTAGACTACATCAACAGCCTTTCCGTCGTCTACCTGTCTGGACACCCGTCGTAGAAGATGATGAGGTTGGTAAAGCATGGCCTGCCTTTCATGAACCCGTGCTGGCTGGGCATGATGCCCTGGACTCCATGCACGTGCTGTGTGATCTGACACAAGATGATTTGCTCCATAACTTTCCCTGGTACCAACGTCAGGCTGTAATTCCCTGGGTCCTCCTTACGGCCCTTCTTGTAGATGGGAGTCACATCAGCAAACCTCCAGTCCTCTGGGACTTCTCTAGATAACCAGGAGCTCTGGTAGATGGCCAAAATCAGCTTGTCAATCACCTCTGCCAGCTCCCTCAGCACCCTAGGATGTAGCCCATCTGGTCCCATGGACTTGTGACAGATGGAGGAGGAGATCTCTAACTGTCTCCACCTGAATCACTTGGGGATGAATTCTCTGCAGCATCCCACACTTCCAGATCAGGGCATAAAGTGCCCTGAAGATAATTGATCTGCCTATTAGAGGAAGATGTAAAGAAGGCTTTGAGAACATCAGCCATCCTTATCCTCAGTGGTCATATTCCCTGCTGCAAGTAAAGGATGGAAATTCTCCTTGGTTCTTCAACCACTGTTAATATTTTTGTAAAAGGATTTCTTCTTCTCAGAGCCTGTACACCTTATTCCTTCTTTGCCTGTGTGAAGGGTGATACTATATCTGAGTTCACTATATATGGTACATTTTAAATAGCTTAGTATCTGTGTTTTGTTTTCTTTGCTTCTAAATTAATTTTGTGCAACTTCAGATCTTCATTTATTTATTTTTCAGCTGATCATAGGTGAGTTGTTTGCAGCCAAGGTTGTGCCCCATCTGTTGTTATCCTGTGCTGTGCTCCTCTATACCACAGCCTATGTACCCACCCCTCAAAGGCTTCTGCTTTCATACTGAGTCTGAAACCTCCACACTCCATCACTGTGTTCAAGTAATGTTCTGTTTTCCAAAGTAACTGCTTCTTGCAATTATTTATATAAAAAACTGAAAGATAATTAAAATGACTTAGTCTCAGCCATCTAATTGTTCAAAACAGTTATTGCTAAACTGTGTAAAAACAAATCTGCTTCGGGAAAGTCAAGAAAAGTTTACAGAAAAAGTGATAAAGCTCAATGCTAACATCTTCCAAATGTAGTACAAATTTTATGATCTTTTACTAGCAATTGCAATATCTTATTGCAGTTACACTTTCTCCTTGCGTAGAAAGCCTCTAGGAATACACGACTGGGACCTATATAAGACTGAAGCTTTCAGAGATGCTAATGTATACATAAAGATACATTAAGAAATAAGAAAGACGAAAGGACAAGCTAGCTGTAAAAGAATCAGGATATCCATTTTATAGCAACAGGCTATCCTTTAGTTCTCTGATACTCACTTTTTTGCGTCATCTTCAGAACCATCTGGCACAGGACACTGTCAGTGGTAAGAAAATGAGCTAGGCAAACAATAGGTCGGAACCAGTTTGGCATTATACATGTCTGTGATATATTTATTTACTCTAACTGGATTTTCTGTGATACTCAGATCTACCTCTTGAAAACTCACTGGTTAGCCCCCAGAATCATAATAAAATATTAGCATTATTTCAGGTATTTTGGTGGTACCAGTAAGATGGTCTGGTTTCCACTTAGGGAGAGATTGGCTTTTCTTTATTTTAATTTCCCGAGTGCTTCATTAAGTTTATAAATGTTTCACTAAGTTTTATTAAATGCATTTAACTGAGAATTGGGAGCTGTGCTTTGCACACTGAGTGAAATGCACTTCATGGGAAAAGTTTACTGTCAGGAGTGATTAAGAGTGTCTGTGAATGCTTTGGTTATTTTGTGCTTTGTGGAGGGCACTTTATACTTATTGGTTATTTAAAGGAATGAATTAATGTCTTGCCAAGCAGATCATGCAAATAAAATAATTCACCATTTTGAGTAGCTATTTTCTCTTGATTTTCTTTGAATGTTCCTGTAGCAAACATATTCTCTTAGCTGGTGGGCTGAACTGAATCATTTTCAA